CGTCCTTATCTCCCCTTCTTCTTTTTTATATTTGTTACTCTCTTGTAACACCTCTAATCTTCTGGCGCTCATATGACCTTATGCAGTTGCGAGCGCCGTAAAACTTCTACTAAAACTAAACTCTCTTCCACACACATAGGTGCTCATAGCCATAATAACACAATAGTGTACTTGCACTCACAAACAGGCTCACAGTCACATGCAAAATGTTACTAAACAGTAATATAAATATTACTAGTGTTAAGCTAGATACCTAAGTTACTAAGTATTCTGATTGTAACTCAGTTGTATTCTGATGCATGCTCTAAGCTCATACGAATTATGTGATTGACAGAAGGAAACAAAAGGAACAGAACTAGGGGAGGGGGGAAATGACACAAGTGGCGGTTTTCAGTTCCTGCCTGCGTCTGTTTGCCCCATTGTTTGGCTTGTTCCGTTTTGTCCATCACCATCAGCCCCAAGCTGACAAAACGCCTTTTTTCATATCTGGCGCCAAATTTTGTAATTGATCAAGTCCAAATGAACGTGTGAAATAACGTCAAAAGTCTTCAAAATAGTTCCTGTGGCTAATACTGTTTTTTATCTTTTTATCCCCTAATGTCTTCAAATGTTTTCACCACAGTTGGTTTTCTAAAAAATTATACATTTCAGCAAAACCCACAGCCAAGTTGCCGCCAGCAAAACGACGCAGCGATGTCAACCCTCTCACCGCGGCAGCCAAACGGGCACGCCGGTCATCGGGGACTCCTGGCTCGGAGCTGCCCAGGTACTGTGGGAACATTGTACAGAACATTGGGGCTGTAGAGAAGGGTTTTCTACAAGCATTTGTAATAATAATAATAATATATAACATTTATATAGCGTATATCCAAAAAAAAGTTGCTCAGTGCGCTTTACATTGGAATACCCATTTTCAAAATCTCTCTCTCTACTTCCTTTCTTCTCATGCAATATATATTTATGCACACACACACACACACACAAACACACACACACACACACACACACAGACTATTTCCATTCAGACGTAGGCACAGAACAACTATAATAAAAATACCGCTTAAATTGTGTCACAATTGATACCCTCACGGTTTTCAGTTTGTGACTATTCCCGATTTTCCCCTGTAGTCTTCACATGTAATTGTCTTGGGTGGGTGGGTGGTTGGCGGGTGCTCTGGTGTGGTTTGCTTCTTCTTTCCTATCAAACATCTATCGTCCTTATCTCCCCTCCTTC